AAATTGAAGAAGCCCAATTCAGAATGTCAAGCTGTGCTTCAAGAATGATAAAAGACAGACTCATACTCTCGTCAGAGTAAAACAACTTGCCCAGAGTAGAATTAACAAATAGGCTATTTCAGTGGAATTCTATCACCCCCTGCTGGACAGATGAACTCACTAAAAAGAGCACGGTAGAAAATATATGGCACACAGATACTATATACGTTTCCCTTCCCTCCCCCACTCCCATTTGGTCTGTTTCTTAAGGCATATAAACTTCAGCATAAATATGTTGTGTTGAAATTCATTAAACCTTTCACAGAATAGACGAAAGAAATTCTTTTAGCAATTAAGTCCAGTCTTTGCCCTATTACAAACTTGTCTGAACTGTTCAAAGCATTGCAATTCATTTTTGCAAAGAGGTTCTATCTGTCAGTGTCTCATATCAACACACTTCAGCACTTCCTTCCCCTAATCAAAACTAGTGGAATCCAAATATAACCTAGGAAACACCACCAAATAATTTATCTGCTTATTTTTAAAAAAAAACAATGTTGGAAAATGCAGAGAGAGAGAGAGAGAAATGCAATGGTTGTGCTTTTAACTACTACTTCCTTGTAACTGTCATTCCTTTATGGTTGTGTGTATGTTATGCCCTGCCTTGCAATAAAACTGTTGTGTACATACGCATATATGTACATATATGTCGTGTCCAACAAAACACCCCAGAAAAAATAACATGAAATTCAGAAGGAAGCTTCCTTTACAGAGGCACCAAAGGACGGTGATTGATTTTTTGCACATAGCAGAAATCCAAAATTTCTCCCTCATTACAACTATCCTGTCCTTTAAATATTTTTAAACAAGAAACAACTTTAATTAATACATTAAGAAACACATTCAGACCCATGCTTTGTAAGGCATTATTTATTAAAAAAAATCTGCTGTGAAGAAGCAAGGACCATCATTGTCCATATAGAAAGACAGGAAGAGATAAACCCCCAAGAAACTGGAATTAACATTTTCTTTTCTTCTTTTTTTTGCTGATCTTTGCTTCAACCAGAACAACAACAAAATGTAACAGCTCCCCCCAACCCAAGAAATAGATTTCAGGAACAAATTGGTGTGAGGGTAAAAATGGTTTCAATCCTTAATTTGCCGGGGTGGCAAAGAGGTGAGAGATGCTAATCTTTGATTTGCATTGTAACGAGGGGGGCGGCGGAGGAGAGGTTTGGACGGTAAATAAACCACGATTAGAAGAAACGGCACTCCTACCTTGCCCGCTACTGAGAAACAATCCGAACAGGTAGAGCACCGGCAGGTTCATTTTTTCAGGAGCTCACACTGGTGGACAGTTCCCAAGTTAAGCGAGGGTGCTGAGCCTAGGAAAAGCCAGCTCTTGCGGCTTACTTTGCCGCCGCTTTGCCTGCTCCTGCGTCTCCTCTTCGCGTACAAGTCTACCCTTCAATCAAGCGCGCGCGCGCGCCCGCGCAGAGCCATATACACTCACATCAACCCCAGCCCGGAAAGCCGAGCAGCGCCGCTCACCGACTGACGGCAAGCGCCTATCGCCGCTTGGCTATATCGGGCGGGCAGGCAGGCAGGCAGGCAGCGGTGCCAGTAGCAGTAGCAAAAACAGACCCTCTACACACATGAAAGGATGCAAAGTATCCCTCCGCGAACGCAGATGCACGTTTTTAGAAAGAGCTGGACCAGCCTTTACAAATGGCAAGAGCGGAGAAGAAACGGGAAGAAAGGAGACTGATTCTTCCGCCCCTTTGCCCTCGAAAGCTTCTGGCGACGGCGACGTTGCTGCTTAAGGGTGTTCCGTATCTTTTTCCAGTTTGTAGACGACAACCCTCTCTTCTCGCTTGAAACGGATTATTCAGGAATAGAAAAAGGAGGGGGGTTCAGCTTTTCTCTCGCTTTTGAATTCGACGTGGAGCTGAGAGAAAGCTCCGGTTCTTCCGAAGGGATCAGATCCTAATGCCAAAAGTGGGGAGGGGGGAAGGAGGGCGAGGAAAAAACGAACAAGAGAAGAAGATAGAAGTTCACAGGAGCTGGAAGCAAACGCATTAATGCAAATGCAAATTGTGAGGGCATGCATTGGGATTGCGTGCTTATACAGCGGTCACGTTGACAGACGTGCTTGGAAAGTATCTGGCAGATGTTAAAGAACTGCAGGATTGTGCTGGAGTTAGTACTAGGAAAGAAGTCTACCGTTTAAATGCTCCAGGAGATGGGGTCGAGATGAGATTTCATGATGGTGCCAGAGGCTGATTCTTTCCAGATGTAAAATACTGCATACCAATCTCCCTCAACCCCCCCCTCTTTCTTCCACTCTGTTGGGGTGGTAGAATAATTAGGAGAAAACAAAATGGCTGGAGGGGAAAGGGTGGGGAGGAAACAGGTCTGAAATGCTACTTGAAATAAGTGAACATGGAAATAAAGGAAGTGATCATCAGATATCCCAAATAATCCCACAATTTGAAATCAGAAACCTTGTCCATAGGATTGAAATGAAGTAGGTTAGATGACAATCAACTCCAGACAGGGGAAATGACAAATCACATTATTTATTGTATGTCCACTTTTATTTTTTTTAAAAAAAAGTTAAAATCACCATATAGATTGATCTCTCGCTCTCTCTTCATGTTATCATTGCAAATAAATCTCAGATGCTTCACCTGACAGCTGTTACCACTGAAGTTTGTGCTTAATAAAAATAAAATCTGGATCCTCCAAATTCCAATTCAGTACTTCAGTCAATATACTGTCTCTCATAGTTTGCCTGCTTTCACATAGTTCATTGAAGTAGCATTAAAATCTCTTTGATGCTAAGTATGTCCCAAAATCACATAAATGATTACCTGAAATAATAGAATTGGAGAGAGGCTTCTAGAACAGATAGACCAATCTTTTTTCTTTCTTTCTTTTTTCTTCTTCTTCTTCTTCTTCTTCTTCTTTTTTTTTGGTGCAAAAAATCCAGAATTAAAGCATTCCCAGCAGATGGCAGTCCAGAATTGGTTTGAACTATCCATTCATTATAGTTCCCTGCCACCCAGTATTTGTTTCATTTATTATAATTTGCACCATTAAACATGTTTAGGTAATATTTAATCACTAACCATTCTTTGGTAATCCAGTGCCTACCTTATGTCCTACCCTTAGAGAAAAGAGAAAAAATGCCACTGTAATTGGGTTCATCTTTGACAATATTTAAGAGTTATCACTCCTCCTCCATCTACACCAGAAGTGTCAAACTCGCATCATGTTGTCATCATGTTGTTATCATGTGATGTATTGTGATTCCCCCCCCCACCTTCTCTAAAATGGGTGGGCATGGCCATATGTTGCATCTGGCTCACAGGCCACAAGTTTGACACCCCTGCTTTATACAGTATTACAGGAGTCAAAATATTTCATCTAACCCTTACCATGATTTCCAATAGAACTGGATAATATCAATAATTGGGGAAAACTTTAAAAATTATGAATAGTTTTTTAAAGATCTAAATGTAGACTATGAGAGTATGGAATATGCTTCCAAATAATGACTCCCTGTAATACTAAGTAGAAATCAGTCCTTGGGAATAATTTTAGGAATATTTGAGAACAATGTGTTTACTAAGAGTAGTTAACTTGGCAACATTTTTTGAAGTGGTTGGCCATGGCCTTCTTCCAAGGATGCAGAAAGAATGACTGACCCAAGGTCACTTGAATGGCTTCATGCCTGTGGTGGGATAAGAATTCATATTTTCCTAGTTTGAAGTCTGGTGCCTTAACCACTTCAACTGACAGACTCTGTAATTTTAGTCAACGTTTAACATAATGTTCAATTATCTATCCATCCTAATTGCTAGAAACTGACCAAAAGTTTATCCACTGACAGTATTTGTGATTCTTATTGAAAGAAATGAGGATTGCCTGTTATTCATTGGTATGAAACATAATGAAAGTACTAACTTTGTAAATTTATATCATATGAAAAGGAAGGCAAAATAAAGGCAAAATTACTTTCTAGTGCCGTAATGGCGAATCTATGGCACACATGCCACAGGTGGCATGCAGAGCCATATTTGGCGGCACGCCAGCTGTCAGCTCCAGCCATTTGCCATTCCAGTGGGCCAGGAGAGGCAGTTTTCACCCTCCCCAGGTTTCAGGAAAGCCTCCAGAAGCTGGCGAGGGTGAAAAATGGTGCCAACAGCCAACCAGAAATTCCGGAGTGAACTTCCAGTTGGTCCATTGGGGCTGTTTTTGCCCTCTCCAGGCTCCGGAGGCATTGGTGTGACTCATCTTTTTCTTTCCAGTGTATAATTGGTTACAAAAAACAAAAAAAAAAGTTGTTGAGGAGATTAAGTTAATATATTATCAGAAGGAAAAATGAAGTGCTCAGATTTATTCAATATTCAAATTTGAAAAATACTAACACTACTTCTTCATTTGTTTTTAATTAAAACCTCCTTTAACTCAAGGCAACTAATATAGGCATGGATTCAACTAAAAATTATTGACTATTATTTAATTATTTAATTTTGGCTCTCACTTTTATATAAGAGAAAAATACAATGTATGTGTTACAATAATTTTAAATCTAGAATCAATTATTATTTTTATTGCCTGATATTGATTACGTTGTAAAGAACAAAAGTGGTACCATGTGACAAAATGAGAAATAAAAAAGTGAAAATAACCCCAAATGGAAAGAATGCTGATATCAGTTGAAATAAGGTAAGTACATGGAATCAATGTGACTACCAAGCATAAAGTCTTGCATAATCCAGCCAGAGCAAGCAAAATCAAGAAACGTGAAGGAAATGATGTTTAGGGGTTGTATATGGAGAATTGTTGCCCTCTTATTTTAACAGGGGACTTCTTGAAAACAACATAAGGTATGAAAGCATCTCCCAAGAATTTTGTCTTCTTCAAAGACTCCATTCATTACATGATCTCTATTGTAGCAGATTCTTCGAGTATGAATGTGGGCCTGAATTAATCAATTATAATCAATAAAATAAAAAGTTAGAGATTCTCTATATTCTGCATTTCATGAACTCTTCCATTATTACATAAGATCCTGACGTTCAAGCCTGTAATAATCCCAAATAACATCATTACCATTACAGTCATTATGGGCAACTGTAATGGTGTTTTAACACATGATTTCCCATAATGACTGTAATGAGTCAAGACGGCATATCAAAAAGAATAAAAGTGATGCTGTCTTTACCTATGTAATACTTTGTAATATACTTATGTAATATACTTTGTTAAAACACTTGTATTATATACAACCTATCATTATAATCATTTATTGTAGTTTTATTGCTCCATCCATTTTCTCATCTGAGTAACTTCTAATGCTTCAACTAATTTAAACATTTCATGCAATTTATATTGCCCTGTGAAAATAGATGTTAAAAGAATGTTCTTCCTTTTTCTGCATTCCTGCATTCCGATATTGTTGATTTTATTAAGACTAGAAGAAATTTTAGAAGTAGGTAGTTAAATGAGCAAGAGAGACAGAATGAAGCATAATATGTACCTTTTTTTTTTCAAATTGCTCACCAAAATATTCTTAGGTAATTCTCAGTTCCTGGCCTTGTCCATAGTTATTAGTTATCTTGTCAACAAATTATCAGATTCAAGATAATAGATAATCACAGAACCAATTGATTGAGAAATATCTGAAAACATAGAAATATTGTCTCTGTAACATGCTTGTGAACTTTCAAGTATAGTCTAGGTTGCCATCTCAGAAATCAGTTTCGGAGTCAAACAACCCTCCCCTTTTAATTCTTAAATTCAGTGTAGCTTAAATACCCAGGTAAATCAAGATAATCTATACAGGTGCTCAGATATACTGGCAGTTTATTTTAATGGCTCATGCTTTGCATAGTATTAACTTGAGTTTTTGTGTAAACTATGGTCTAGTTAAGAAATGCTGGTAGAAGCATTAGGAACAATTCATCTTGATTGCAATTATTTGTGTATTTTTGTGCATACTTGAACACATGCATGTAAGTATTTATTTGTAAAATTTATGGTGTACGTGTATGTGTCTGTGTCTGTGTTTCTGTGTACATACATACATATACACATTTATATTTAATTGATGAAGACTACCATTAAGATGAAAGGCTATTGTGCTGCATATTAATTAATAAAGCCATGTTGTTAATTGTTTAAAATGTTGAATTAGCTGAACCTGAAACATGGCACACACAAACAAAAAGTTCATAATAACAACAGAGCTAAGGACTACTCCAATTTCCAATTTTGCTTTTAAGTTACTGTTTTTCAGAAAAATATGAGGGTAGAATCAAATCCTCTGATTTTCACTTGATGTTAGCATATGATTCTCCCTCCATCCCCTCATTCTTTGTGCATCTAGTTGTTTGAAATTTCTTGCCTGATAATTGTTGTTATTTTTAGACAGTACAAAACTTTTTATTCTTTCATGGTCAGTTCTTGAATTAGTAACCTTGTTGGTTTGCTACCTGATCATTATACTCCATAAAAATGCCAAAAGTTTTCCCTCTAGAAATAGATTGTTTTTTTTATTTCAGATTGCATTTTAATAATCACTTGATCTATGTATGATCCCTATTTCAATGGCATAATTCATTTCTTTAACTTTTTTGCACTTCGCTTGACATGCAGATAAGTACTTTTCAAATTATTCCATGTTTATATGTAGTACCTGCTAGATAAACAATATAGTTCTTGGTTGGCATGGCCTTGATTATTCTTTTCAGGGTACTGTATAAA